AAATATAATTATTTACAAAAAATATATTTTTTCGAATACTATTTTCAGAGTATCTGTACTATATCATTTTTCCATCGAAAATTGGTTCACATATTGATGAGCCTGCATTTTGCAATTTTTGAAATTTAACCTGTGTTTGCTCTTAAAAAAAGAAAGAACAAATGAATACAAATAGAATGATTATCGAGTCATCGCAGGTTTGTGGGACATAAAGCCACCAGATTATTAGACATTATTACTTGAATTCACATATATTAGAGAAAGTTTATCTATCTCTTAGATTAAAAAAAAAAGTCACTTGTTGGGCATATAATGCAAATATAAGAAGTTTCCTATAGAGACTGTACACATTATGTAACTTGAGTGGAAGATAAATTTATAAAATAGGAAAACGAAAAAAGGTCGATAGACCACTATAGAAATATCTTGTAAAATTTAAAGACAGATAAAATGGGGCACCAAATCCTAAAATTAATCTCCATACCTTGTCTGATATAGACAAGCACTATGAGTCTAGACATAAAAAGAGTTTAATTAGGGTTAGTTTAACAACAATAAAATTATTTTTTATAAATCACATGCTTAAGCTGTGAAAATAGCAATTAATGCTGACATTAAAATAGGCTATTTATATCACACCTATAAGGATACGATCATTCCCCGATCTTACATTATACTTTGTGTACCGAGCTGTCCTTCGTCAATAATACATTTTTCTTTAAGTTTGGACCTCCTTTTCTTTATTTACCAAAAATAATTGTCCTTCATTCCTTGAAAGCGTAACCCCGTGAAGAAATTTTTGTCCTCCTTATATTTCTTTTTGCCAAATTGTCCCCTTTTGAAAACGCCACTTTATCTGTCAAAATAAAGAAGGTTTGAATGGTGCCAAAAAAGAACTACCCACTCACTTGGACACTTCACCCAAAACCCTAAAATCTTTCTTTATTGAATATGTGCTTTTTAAAACTATTGGTTGGTTTGGAAGACGGTTTTCGTCGTAACCTAAAATCGTGATTTTGGAAATCTTATTGATAGGTTTCTAATTGAGATGTAGGGCACTAAGTTTGGGAGAAAATAGTACTATCTTATGTCTGGAATGGCTAATGGAGTCTGTGCTTTTGTTGTTTATTAGTGACATCCTTTTCTATTCTTAAATTGGCTCCATTATTTTCTAGACCTAAAATGAGAAAAAAAATATTGGTAGGCAAATTGGAAATGATAAGGAATAATATTTCTTTGATATATTCAAACTTCTTTTTACTATTTCGTGACTGACTATATAGTTTGTATAAGAATTTTAGCCTATAGACAAACAAAAAAGTATGTCACAACGAATGGAATCAGAATCTATTGTATACATCAGAATACTAACCCAATTTCGTTAAAAGAAAATAATTAATCACTCATATTATCCATTAAATAATGGGTAGGATAATAAACTTTTTTAAAAACGGGTCAAATATGGGTAAAAATTATATTATCCATTTAAAAAATAAATAATCAATGGATAACTAATGAGTTTTAACTTTTACATTTGCAAAGCCTCAAATTGAGGGTTCGTCAAGTTTGAAAGACTAGAAATTCTCCAAAAAGTGATCATATTCAATAAGCCATAAATAACATGACACTTATATTATCCGTCAGTTAACTTATTTTTATTTGTATCAAATATGGGTCGGATCGGATAATTTATCCATTTTTTAATTACTCATTTTGACATATCCGACCCGACCAGCCCGTTTGTCAGCCCTAATCCGTACCATAAGAGCATGATACTCAATTTCAAAGCAAAGTAGGCAAACCAAGATTATTACTACACATAAATCATAATTAACTGTTGAATGTAAGCTTTATGGATGAAAAGTGAGGGAATTAATAACTTCCTGTGGACTCAACTGTGGGGAATTTAAAGCATTGCTTTTATAGGCGATGAATCTAGGATAATATCGTCGATCCCGATGATATTTTCCACTTGGAAACATCTTTGACTAACGTGGGCTTAACAGTAGATATTCGAGAGCTAAAAGTTGAGTTACGATAATTGTGGCTAGGCTTAAGCAAAGAGTTGAGTCGAGTCCTTTTTAGGTTAAGCTCAGTAATAGCAAAGTTTGGCTTAGCTTAATTTCACTCGACTCGATTTTAATCAAAGTCCGACTCTATACTTGGCTCCACTCATCTCGATTTAAGCTTAGGCTCAGATGACTGAACAAAGAAAAGGGCCCGGTGCACTAAGTCCGTGGAAGGGCCGGATCACAAGGGTTTATTGTACACAATTTTACCTTGTATTTTTGCCAGAGACTGTTTCTATGGCTTAAACCCGTGACCTACTGATCACATGGCAGCAACTTTACCAGTTACGCCAAGGCTCCCCTACACGAAGAAAAAAATATTATTGTTAATTAAATACCTCAAGGTTAATCGCACGACCCGCAAATTTTAACTCATCAACGTGAAGTTGGACAGTTAGCTGAGAGAGCAATATAAAGAATAATAAGAAAGTAGTTAAAGTCTCTTAATGGCTGGTCCATAGCTATAGTCTTTTTTTTTTAATGTTCAATGCACTCATTTTCTTTCAATTTATCAATTCATTTTAAGCTTTTTATTTCTATTGCAAGCATTTGCAATTTTTAAAAAATATACTTGGTAATTCATCACTAAGATCCTTAATGAAATGATCCTAGATATTCGTAGAAGAGCACAATCCCTAATTCAATGGTTAATCATAGTTAAATGATATGCATTTTTATTTAATTAATTATTTAATTAAATGTAAACACTCGATCTGAATAAGTATTTACCGTCATCAAAATGGCAAAATATTAGCTGACTAAATCTTTTACTAAAATGTGTTAGTCCTTCGCTCTAATTATCTGTCTATCCTTGAATATTATATCATTAATCTTGGTCAAACTCTAGTTTTTATATAATAACATTTAAATAATCTCATTCTAAGTGATATTACAAACTTCTACCATATTTAATCAATAACGACCCTCAAGTATTATTTCATTTATGTTGATTTAACTCTAATTTTAATATAATACCATTCATATGNTATGTATTTGGCAAATTATTCTGATAATAGTATGGGATTGAGGAATAATAGTATGAGTATGAAACTAAAATGGCAAGTTTTTGGACTCAAAACACGTTTCTACGATACAAAACGCAGTATTATATTGTGCTTTACTTTAACGGAATTTTAGCCGTTAAAGTAAAGCGCAGTATAATACTGCGTTTTACCTAAAGCACAGTATAATACTGCATTTTACCTAAATCGCAGTATTATACTGCATTTTACCTATTAAAANTTTCGACTTTTCTAAAAACATAAATCGAGGTATTCCGATTTAGTTTATGTCGAAACTCGTATAATAATGCATATTAGTTGTCTTGAATGTGTTTCCATGTTGTTTTGTGTTTTGTTTGCGATTAAATTTGTATATTATTTTTATCCAGATTAAATTATTAGTGTTTAAAAAGAATAGTTAAAAGTTGAGAAATAATTTTTCTTGTTAAAAAAAATATTCATAAATTTCATTTACTATTTTATATGTAATTCCGTGAATGTCATGTTATTAAAATATGTTTGTTGTTTTTATTTAGTTTAGATTATTTATATGCTTACAGAATAGTGCCCTTTTAGCGTAGTAAAATATAAAGTCTTATAGCGTAGTAAAATATAGAGCCTTTTAGTGGAATAAAATATAGAGCCTTTTAGCGTAGAATCTTTGTAGTTTAAGTATCTACTAACTACAAACTCTATCCAATTACACTTTACAAAAATTAATTATTTAATTTATAAAACAAACACACAAAACTAAAAAATTAATATATGTTGTCAAATTAAATATCGAGCATGGAACTCAAAGATATATACCCTGTCCAATTAAAAATTAATTATTTAATTTATAAAAATAACAAAATTGTAAAAATATTAAAATTGACGCACATAAGAATTCAGGATAGCTTGGTGCTACTGGGCCTCAAATATCGATTCTGGAACCCATAAATATATACTCTGTCCAATTAAATAATTAAATATTAATTATTATTTCTGAAACAAAATTCTAAACATATTAAAATTGATACACATAAGAATTCAGAATAGCTTGGTATTACTAGGCCTTAAATATCGAGTCTGGAATATATATATACACACACACACTGTCCAATTAAATAATTAAATATCTAATTTATAAAACTAACAAAATTGTAAAAATATTAAAATTGACACACATAAGAATTCAGGATAGTTTGGTGGTACTGGGACTCAAATATCTAGCCTGGAACCTATATATATACTCTGTCCAATTAAATAATTAAATATTTAATTTATAAAACTAACAAAATTCTAAAAATATTGAAATTGACACACATAAGAATTCAGGATAGCTTGGTGCTACTAGGCCTCAAATATCGAGTCTAGAACCCATAGATACATACTTTGTCCAATTAAATAATTAAATATTTAATTTATAAAACTAAAACAAAATTCTAAAAATATTAAAATTTACACACATAAGAATTCAGGATAGCTTGGTGTTACTGGCCTCAAATATCGAGTCTGGAACCCATAGATACATACTCTGTCCAATTAAATAATTAAATATTTAATTTATAAAATTAAAAAAATTCTAAAAAAATATTGAAATTGACACACATAAGAATTCAGGATAGCTTGGTGCTACTGGGCCTCAAATATCGAGCATGGAACTCATAATATATACTCTGTCCAATTATAACAACAACAACAACAACCACCAAGTAAAATCCCACTTTGTCTAATTAAATAATTAAATATTTAATTTATAAAACTAAAACAAAATTCTAAAAATATTGAAATTGACACACATAAGAATTCAGGATAACTTGGTACTACTAGGCCTCATATATCGAGCCTGGAATCCATAGATATATATTCTATCCAATTAAATAATTAAATATTTAATTTATAAAACTAACACACAATTAATATTGTTTAATTTACATTAGACGATATGGACTTGCCGCATGTGCATCTTGGACCTTTCTCGGATGAGATATTAGTGTTACAGGGTGATCATAGGTCTGCCTACGTATGGGAGGGAGAGCTAGTGGAGCAGACTCTCCGCGCTAGGAGAGTGGACGACATGTAGGGCTTTATGAGGGAGAGAGGTTTTCATTCCCGCGTAGTCCAGCGCCTGCGTGATACGAGCTTCTATAAGATTTTTGAGATTGGGCGGCTGCAGCTCGACTGGTCTCTAATCACGACGTTGATAGATCGGTGGCGATCGGAGACACACACTTTCCACCTGCCCATTAGCGAAGCCACCATCACGCTTCAGGATGTTCAGATTTTATATGGGCTGCCTACTGATGGACTGGCCGTTGCACTGCCTCAGTATATGAGATCTATGACGCGTGCCCAGTATTTGGACTTGCTGCAGCAGTTCACTGGTTTCAGGCCACAGGGTGAGGCTGCACCTTCAGGGGCAGTCGCATTTCTGTGACAGCTATTAGACAGTATTTGGAGGTATTGCACCCCGACATCACCGGCGAGACAGATGATCTACATATTCACCGTTACACGAGGTTGGCGCTGCTCCTTCTTTTTGGGGGTGTCTTGTTCCCGAACACTTCGAAAATTCTAGTGAGTATGTGATTCCTACATCATCTTTGTCACACCTCCTTTTTACATACCCGAGAGTACAAGGGAGTTTTTTCCAATTAAAGGACAATAGAAACGGGATTGGTTTATTTGTTTCAGAGTCGCCACTTTGGAGATTTAGTGTGTCCCAAGTCACCAATTTTAATCCCGAATCGAGGAAAATAATGACTCCATATTACAGTCTGCGTACCAGAAATCCGGAGAAGGAATTCTGTTAACCCGGGAGAAGGTGTTAGGCATTCCCGAGTTCCGTGGTTCTAGCACGGTCGCTCAACTGTTATATTCAGCTTGATTATCTGATTTTATACATGTTAAACCTATGTGCAAGTTTTAAACTCTTGACCACTTTTATTATTATTTTTTACGAGAATTGCAACGTCGTGAAAATATATCTCGAACCACGTTACATCAATGCACCCGTGGTTATTGACATATCTCGACTTGGTTGAGATTTGGATTTGGGTCACATAAATGTGCACCCGAATTAAGAAAAATAACTTATTAAGACGCGCCTAAAGCAACTAACGTATTGTTATTTGGGGAAGGCCGTAAAATTTGCTAAACGGCATGTCCCGAATTCTAAGTATTTTTAATATATATACATTTAGAGGGCCCCGCAACTTCTACATTTTATTTGTCGAGGCTCGTCTCATTCATTATTAAAAGGATTTAAAACGTCATGGAAATGCATCTCAGACCGCGTCACAATCAATGTACCCGCGATTAGAGACACATTTCGATTTCGTTGAGACTTGGATTTGGGTCACATAAATGTGCACCCGAGCTTAAGGAGATAAGATTATTAGATGCGCGCTTAAAAGAGACTATCGCGTTATTATTCCGGGAGGGTCGTGAGATTTGCTAAACGACCTGCCTTGGAAACTGGATGCTTCGATATATACATTTAACGAGGGCCCCGCAGCTTGTGCGTTTTTACTTGGCGAGGCTCATCTCGTCCTTATTTTAAAAGGATATCCTATAGCAACTACGTTTCTTGTCGCGTTTGTCTTTACTAACTAAAAACAGAGATAGTCCTAGTTAATTGCATGCTTGCAGGTTATTTATAGTAGGATTCAAAATGCTTTTACAGAATAGGAAGATGTGGCTACACGCACGGACTGCTGATCGAACATTATGGGCCCAAATCCAGCTCATGCTAGATGGTCCAAGCCTGGCTTGGACTGGACTTGTGTGCCGGTTTTGGGCCTACTGTTTTAAATTTTGGCCCAATCCGAGTATCCTCATTTTCTTTTGCTTTTTCTATTTTAATTTAAACATAAAATTCTTAAATAAGACAAAGTAAATTATATACCCACAGATTAACATTTAATAAAAATCAACCAATGATAAGAAACATTTATGCATATATTTTTGATTTTCTTTTTTTTTGGAGTAATTCCCGTGAAGCAAAAATCACGTGCTTACAATCTTCAGCAGCTAGATGAGTTACCCCAGTACAACTGGGGTGCTGCTATTCTCGCTTACCTGTACATGAGTATGTGTGGGGCTAGCATGGGCACCCAAAGCGACGTATGTGGTTTTCTGCTGCTTCTACAAGTGACAACATATTCGAATACTCTGTTCATTACTTCCAATTCTATATAGTCAAAATGACTCATAAATTTTCCGTCGACCTTGTATGTTAGGTTTGGGCCTGGGAGCGGTTCCTGCCGTTGCAGCCACCTCTACCACCATTCCTCCAGATGTAGCACCTCCGTTACTCCCTCTTGCTAGGAGGTGGGTACTCCGGCGTGGAAACTACCAAGCCATTGATGCTCATCATAATCTCCCCCTTGTCAGGGATGTGTTGAATATGCTCGAGGCCGCACATGTAAATATGTACCTAAACTTACTTGTTATAAATTCACTTGTGTTGCGCATGCTCACTTTTATGTTATTATTTAATAGTTCATCTGGACGCCATACAGCGACGACTTGATAGCTAGCCTGCCCGATTATTGCTTGGTCGGTCGACTGATTTGGAGCACTTCCGCCCCGTTGATGTGCCTCAATATTGTGGAGCATTATGCCACAGAGCGGGTACTTTGCCAGATTGACCGTCCACAGACTATACCGAGGGAGCCTACATGGGAGGCTACACATTATCAGCGGGATGATCGATCGAGGGCGGACGACGCATTTGTAGCATGGCTAGAGACGCAGGTCCATACTTGGGATTAGCGAGAGGACCTGCTTCCGCCACCACCTTCACAGATCCAGGCGGAGACTATTGAGATTTATACGTCCTGGTACTGCCTTCACACCTGACTGATGATCGGGAACCTTGTTCATCAAGCTAGCGATCGGTTCAGACCATATGCCAGGAGGCACAAGGCACCAATATGTTTTTTTTGGAACCCATACTTATAACTGCGATATAGCATTATGTAATTAATATTTTAAATATTTTGCAGGCTATTGATCATCATTTATTCTACCGGTTGGGAATGCAGATACAGCAGCATACCGACAATCCTGCAGTCGCTGAGTATGGCCGGCAGGTGGTAGAGCTGGCTCTCCGGACACTGCAACGAGCTAGAGAGGACGAGAGGTTAGATCACACTGCTGAGTATGTGGCGCCAGAGCAGCACCATCGGGGTAGGCCTGTCGCACGAGACAGGGGTCGGGCATGAGCCAAGATTGCCCTACGAGGCAGGATTGTCCCACGAGGCAAGGGTGCCCCACGAGGTCGTGGGGGACGGAGAGGAGGTGGTCCTTAGCAAGGGGGGCATTGAGCCACCTGTTGAGGCACATGATAAGGATCTTGGAGATGATCAGTTGAGTTACATCCCTCAACTAGACGAGCCTTCCAGCAGCATGCCGTCGTACAGCCTTCAGCTGGAGCTGCCAGCATTGTAGGTCACCCCGTCAGATCCATTGTTGATCACGGGTACATTCGACGGAGATGTAGAGCAGTTATTTTCAGGTCCATCTACCGCAGTTGAGGAGCGGCCAACCCGAGACGTGGATGGTTGGCGCAGGTTGAGTTTTGGCTCATCCCTTGCGGTTGATGCGGATCTATCACAGGCGTAGGTATGTTTGTATTACTGTTAAATTTTAATTTACTTTTTTTCCTTAATGATTTGCCATAAATTAATTTTTAATTTTCTTTTTAAGGCTTCGTCCTAGCCTATCACGGAGCCCACTTTATGCGATGATGAGGAGACCACAGATGCTTATATTCAGGAACCTGATGAGACCATGGTAAGAAAATATTTTTGACTTAACACGTACATTACTAATATACATCTTCATATACTAAGCTTAGTAATTATTTTGTAGGTTGTTGACGGACCGACAACCCCTTATACCGATCCTGCCAGCTCTACTGACGATCATGCTGCTGCACATCCTCACATAAAGAGCCGACGTGATGATGATCCTGATAGTGTACCCAGGCGATAGGGGATGCGCCTCAGGCCAGCGGTTACATTGAAGCACACAGGCTGTGGGACTCATTGAATTTTTTTTATTTGTATTTTATGTAAATAATACATTATGTAAATAATGGCAAGAATTTTATTTTAACACAATTTGAACAACAATTTTATTTTAACACTACAACACAAACACAAACGTACAAAACCTAATATAACATAAATTCAGTACAACTAATGAAAATACATGACACGGGAAACATAAAGATACACTACTACGCACAACACGTACATGTCATTATTTAGTCGCGATCGCCTAGTATTCTCTGCTCCAACCACTTAAATTTGTCTTCCAGCTTATTTTTCTCTTCTTCCACCTTCTTGAGTTTCTTCTTCAACTCCGCAACTTCTCGTTTGGATTGTCGCTCTCTTTCTCACTACTTCAAACACAAACTATAAAGAGAATACAACTTGTCTTTGTAGTATTCCTGCTGACAGGGTTCATCAATCTATACCTCAAAATTACAGACAGGTTCGTCAGGAACCCTATAAAATTTGTTCATACATGTCCAGTAGCGGCGTCCAGATTCTTCCCAACAATCGTGCATCATGCATTTTTTTGCCGCACTCGCACTTTGGGACATAAAGGGGTTGAGACATTTGTTAAAGCGTAAAGAAAAACCTTGTTTTTATGGAAATATTTGCTATTTGTTATTGTCTAGCGCAGAAAATAACTACAATGTGCCTGTTATTTATAGGTAAGATTTCACACAAAATGTAGTATTGTACAGTGCTATATATATTCAATTTTTCTGAAATGAAACAGCTTTTGCACAGTCGGTTCAGCTTTTTTTGCTACAAGACAACACACAAAACGTAGTATTGTACCACGCTATACATATTCAATTTTTCTGAAATGAAACAGCTTTTGCGCAGTCGGTTGAGCTTTTTTTTGCGACAAGACAACACACAAAATGTAGTATTATACCGCGCTATACATATTCAATTTTTACTTAAACGAAATAGCTTTTGCGCAATCGGTTCAGCTTTTCAGACCGATAAGATAATACACAAAACGTAGTATTGTACCGCGCTATACATATTCAATTTTTCTAAAACAAAACAGCTTTTGCGTTGTCGGTCAGCTTTTTAGAGCGACAAGATAACACACAAAACGTAGTATTGTACTGCGCTATACATATTCAATTTTTCTGAAACGAAACAACAATGTCTTGATTTTTCCTTTATTATCTTTTATTTTCATGTATGTTGCTTTGGTTATAGTTGTTGTGCTTTTATCTCTTCGAATATTATGTTATGAAATTTCAATCTTCAGATTGTTCTTCTTTATTAACACAAATAAGTTGAATGTTGGAGTACCATATCATCATCCCAATTCAAAAGGTCATGTTAAAAAATAAGGTGTAACAAGATTGTGGAACATAATTTTATTTGATAGATATTG